CCTGGAAGTGTCCAAGGCCAGGTTGGATGGGGCTTGGAGCAACCTGGGCTAGTGGGAGGTGTCCCTGCCCAAGGCAGAGGGTGGAATGAAATAAGGTCCCTTTCAACCCAAACAATTCTGGGATATATAAATGCAAAGGGAAGCAAATCAAGCCACGCAGAAAAAAAGAACACCTGCTCTGCTCGGGCAGAGGGAAGTGGCAGCTCACCGAGTCACCTCAGGAGTAAGGAACAGATACTCTGCTGGAAGAAAGATGCCTCCCTTCTCCCCCGCCCTGCTCCGGGGCATTTGGCCTTTCCCGGGTGGGAATGGAGGGTGTGTGTGGGGGGCAGTGGGATGTACTGGGGATGCACTGGTTTGTCTCTGGCTGCAGGGAGTCGCGAGATGGAGAGGAGTGCCTGGTGTGGGCAGGAGCCGCCCGCGGCCGCTGCTCCCCTCACAGCTACGACGTGCACACCTTCCGCAGCCGCGGCCGCGTCCGCACCGTCCCCGCCGTCCGGCAGTGCCGCTGCCGGGGGTAGCGGGGCTGGGAGCGCAGGTGGGGCTGCTGGAGACCCCACCAGACTGTCTGTAGGATATGTAAATGAGAGAAGGATGTATTTTGGTTGTGGGTTTTTGGGTTTTTTTTGTGAATAAAAGCTATTTTAACCAGCGGGTAGAAATGAGCCCCCTCTGCTAAATGTTTCGCGGCTTGTAAAATAAACATCGCGGGCAATTCACAGCTCCTTGGGGTTCTGCTGTGCAGCTCCACGGCCCCCCCTCCGCATCCCGGCAGCCCAGGAGGATGCGGCTGTCTGGCACGCGCTGGGGGTGGCACGGCTTGGCTGCTCCCGGTTACAAACTGTGGAGCAGGAGCCAGGAGAGGGGACCGGGAGCTGTCCCCTCTGCAGACACCCCCAGGTATCCTGCACCATGCCGCTGGTGAGCTGGGAAGAAGGAAGCAAAGGATCCTGAGCAGGAGTTTCCTCTGCCTGTTAACTCAGGAGTTTCCTCTATCTATTAACTGCAGCCTGTCTTGCCTCCCTGCCTGTTCTGCATAATTAACAGCCCTTTGGGTTGGAATAAACTGTAGGCACCACCTGGGATTAGCCTTTACCTTGACTCTCGTGGTGTGGTCCTGGCAGTGCTTCAGCCAGGTGCTGAATTAGTAATTTAATGCTAATTTTTTCTGTTCAGTCCCATGGCAGCTGGGCAGTGTGGCATATGCACGCACAGCAACCTGTTCCTCTGTGACTGGGGAACAAGAACTAAAAGAACTGGCTTTTGTCCCATCACCCGGAGTCCACTGGGCTCTCATGATATTTCGTTAATTTTGAGCGTTCAGGAATTAGCAGCAAACGCCTTTTAATTCCCCAGGAAGCCAACTGATTATTAAAAAAAAAAACAAAACAAAACACCAAACCAAACCCAACAAGCTGGGTTAGGGTTCGGTAGCTCTGGAGTGACCGGAGCCCGAGGCCGCAGCACTGCCTGGCCCGGGGCAGCCCCGGTGCTCTGCTGGAACCTGCTCTGCCCCACAGCCTCGGCTGCCCGGGCTCTGCCTGGCTGTCGGGGGGGATGCACAGCCTGGCCTGCCTGCGGGGACCCCAGGCGCTCCACCCTGCACACCTGAGAGGAACATGGGCTGGGGACACCAGTGCGACACCGAGCCCCTGCCACGCTCCAGTGTGAGCTGCCGCGGCAGGGCCGGGATGGGAAGGGGATGCTCATCGTGGAGGGCGGCATTCCTGCACACAAAGGTCCTCCTGTTTGTCCCATTAGTGCCATCATTAAAACCCAGTTAGTCTCCTACGGAGAGCAAACGCAGCCCAGCCAGGGCCCTGCCAAGGGGCTGCTGGCCCCAGTCCGACGTGTCCCCTGCCAGCCCCAGGAGCGCTGGTGAGCCGTCCTCCCTCCCACTTGTGTACTGGGGCTAATTGGTGCAGGGGGCCCGGCTTCTCACCTTGTTAGCATGGCAATTAGCTCTCTTTACCCTCCTGATTGCTCTTGTGCATATTTCACTCCAATCCACCTTTCCAGGGAGTTATAAATGCAGCACCGAGGAGGCCGGGGGAGTCGAGCTGGGACAGGGAGCACAGAGCCATGCTGGGGACCGTCCTGCTGCTGCTGGCCCTGGCCAAACCGGCGTGCCCGAGCCCAGCGGGCGTGGCGAGCCGGCGAGCTGAGGCGCTGAAAAAGCTGCTGGAAGTCTTCGGCATGGAAGACCCTCCGCCCCCCCCGGCTCACTTCAAGAAGCCACCCCAGTACATGGTGGATCTGTTCAACACCGTGGCCAACGCGGACGGTGTCACCAAGAACCCCGACATCCTGGAGGGCAACACCGTTCGCAGCTTCCTGGATAGAAGTAAGGGGTGGGGGGGGTCCCTGCGGTGCTGGGATGGGGCTGCAGGGAGGGGCTGGGCATGGCTGGTGGAGGTGCTGCCCCAGGTTTCACTCCCCTTCTCATCTCATCCTTCCCTCCAGCTCACAGCAAGGAGATGCAGTTCCTGTTCGTCCTCTCCAGCGTGGCCAAGAACGAGAAGATCCTGACGGCAGAGCTGCACCTCTTCCGCCTCTGGCCGAGGGTCACAGATGGACCCAAAAGGCACCACTTCTGCCAGGTGAGGAGGGCGATGGGTCGGGGATGGGGCTGTCCCCCAGCCTGTGCCCAAGGATGCCACTGGCACACTGTGGTCATTCGCCCGCAGTGGGAGCACAGCCCAGCTCTGGGATCACACGAGCAAACGTTTCACGGAGTATCACAATGATTTAACCGTGGTGGGCTCTTAAATGTCCTTCTGGTACGTGCAAACATCAGCAAAGGCACCTGAAGGCTGTGACAGATCCACGCTGGCAATTCCCCATCTCTGCTCACGCCTCTGTCCGTGGTCATCCCCTCAGGCAGGACCTTTTTCCTCCCCCAGGTCAGCGTCTACCAGGTGCTGGAGAAGGAAAACCCAGACACCCCTGGAGGGAAGAAGCTGCTGGCAGCTCGGCTCGTCTCACTGCAGACCTCGGGCTGGGAGGTCTTTGCCATCACGCCGGCTGTGAGTTGTTTTCCCTCTGTTTAGGGCAGCCCAGAGAGAACACCAGGGGTTTACACACAGGAGCTTTTTTAACCCATTTCACCCCCAGCAGCCTTTTGGGCTCCAGTGCAGTTTCCTGTCTGCAGTCTCTGCAGTGACATGGGAGGGACACATCCTCTGGGAGGGGAAGGCAAGAGTCCTGCCAAGTGCCCTGGGGACTGCTCCATCCTGCCCCAAACTGGTCCTACTGTTCCTCGGGGAGTGCCAGTGCTGGCTCCTGCCACAATGTCCCCTGGGTGGCAGCCCTGGAGCAGCCTCTTCCCGTGGCACACAGTGTGTGGCCTCGGGGGGTCCTGGTTCACTGCCCCCCTCCAGCCTGGCCCCTGCCGTGGGGACACCAACACAGTGCCCATCCCAGCCCACGGCCCTGCGGTGACACCGGTTTGGCTCCCCAGGTTCGTGACTGGACCGAAGACGAAAGCAGCAACCAGGGTTTGCTGGTGACAGTCCAGAGTCTGGGGGGGACCCCGCTCGACCCCCCACCACTGCAGTTTGCCTCTGGCCGGGACCACCACGAGAGCAAGAGGCCCCTGTTGGTGCTGTTCACAGACGACGGGCGCCGGGGAGCGTCGCTGCCCACGGGCAGCTTCTCAGGTGAGTCCCACGTGCACGGCTCCCTTGGTGCCACCATCCCTTTCCTGGGGTGCTGCCCACACGTGGGCTCCTCAAATCCAGAGCTCTTTGCTCGGCCAGAGGCAGAGGCTCTCTCCTTTCTGGGTTAGCCTGCGCAGGGGTTCTGCCTGCTTGCGGATGTGAAGCTGGACTTGGGTGTGGCTGTGAGACTGAGGCTGCCACCTCCTGATGGCTCTGCCTGGGCTGGTGACAGGCTGTGACCAGAGGGCTGCAGACAGGACCCACAGGGAGGGGTGGCCTGGGGGGCTGCAACACCTTTTCTCTTTACCCGGGCTCATGCAGTGGCTAATGGCATTGGATGCTCCTTTCTGGCAGATTTAAAGCCTCAGTCCCCCGATCTCCCCGCCGAGGTGCCGGTGCCCAAACCAGCGGGGTCGCGCAGCACGCGCTCGCTGGACCGGCTCCAGCCCTGCCGGAAGCATCCCTTGTCCGTGGACTTCGAGGAGATCGGCTGGTCGGGCTGGATCATCTCCCCCCGGGGGTACAACGCCTTCCACTGCAAGGGCTCCTGCCCCTTCCCGCTGGGTGAGAACATGCGGCCGACGAACCACGCCACGGTGCAGTCCATCATCAACGCCCTGAAGCTGAGCGAGGGCGTCAGCAGCCCCTGCTGTGTGCCCGACAAGCTCTACTCCATCAACCTCCTCTACTTCGATGACGACGAGAACGTGGTGCTCAAGCAGTACGACGACATGGTGGCCGCGAGCTGCGGCTGCCACTGAGGCGGGAGGAGCAGGGAGGTGGAAATGCTGACACAGAGAGGCTGCTCCTGCTCCCTCCAGAGTGTCGGTGTGGGGCCTTTGTCCCACAAACCCTCTAAAAGAATCCGGGGTGAGCAGAGCAAAGGGGGTGCTGGCTCTGCCCCGGGTGGTGTCACCCCCTGGCAGTGCCCAGGAAGGCTCAGGGCCAAGCTCTGATTAAATCAATCTGGATGAGCCTGTGTGACTTGGCAGCCCCGGGGCAACAGCTCCATTTCGGGGTGTCCTGTGTCGGGGTGTGGGTGTCCCTGCCCGTGCAGAGGCTCCTGCAGGCTGTACTATATGTATATAGCAAGAGCACTAATATATGACAAACTGCCTGTACAGTGTCCTGTAAATGTCTGTACATTCCCACCTTGCTGTGACTTGTGAAATGAATTCAGAGGAACTATTAAAGTGCTGTTGTCCGAGGGCTGCCTGTGGACTCTGAACTGCTGCTGGGGATGGGGCTGGCCATGGGCAAGCAGACACCCCATGGGCATGGGATGGGGGGTGCATGAGGAGGGGCTGCATGCAGATGGATGAAGATTCAGCCACAGCCCAGTCTCCAGGGGCAAGGGGTGGAGGTTGGTGCACCCTATTCCTTAAAAGCTGAATGATCTCAGGATCCATCAGCCAGCCTGCAGTGGGGGGTACAGGGAAGGGGCACACCCCCTGAGCAGGCAGTGGGGGTGTGTGGGGGGAATGTGGTGACAGGGTCTGGGATTGGGGTGGAGGGTGATGCAGAGGTGTCTGGAGGTGATGCTGCTGGGGCAGATGGGAGGTGGGTGTCGTGGTTTAACTCCAGAGGGCAACTAATCACCACACAGCCACTGGCCACCCCCACTGTGGTGGGATGGGGAGGAGAATCAGAAAAAAAAGGTAAAACCTGTGGGTTGAGATAAGGACAGTTTAACAAGGGAAATAAAATAAAATGATATATAATAATATTTGTTATGAAAAGGGAGACACCAAAAAGGGAGAGAGAAATAAAACCTAAGTAAAACAAGTGATGCTCAGTACAGTGATTGGCCCCAGCAGTGATTGGCCCCTCCTGGGCAGCTCCCCCAGTTTATACACTGGGCAGAACTTTCTGTGGCATGGAATATCCACTGGCTGCTTTGGGTCAGCTGTCCCAGCCGTGCTCCCCCCAGCTTCTTGTGCAGCTCCTCACTGACAGAGCATGAGGCACTGAAAAGTCCTTGACTTGGGGTGAGCACAAATGAGCCACAACCAAAACATCAGTGTGTGATCGACATTATTCCCATCCTGAATCCAAAATGTGGTGTTGTACCAGCCACTGGAAAGAAAATTAACTCCATTGAAGCTGAAATGAGGACAGTGGGGAAGGGTGGCTCTGGGGGAAGATGGCCAGAGGAGATTGTTGGGCCCAGAAAGAAGGTTCCTCATGGAAGAGAAATGGGGTGGAAACCAGAGCTGACCAACACTGTGGGGTCAGGTCAGTGCTGGGGAGGTGTACAGAGGGTGGGTGTCAATGTGGGTTCTGGGGAGCGGGTGTAGGTGTTGGCAGACAGGGCAGGGGTCCTCTCACACCCACTGGCACAGCCCCCTTGTCACCTGCAGTCCAGGGCTCAGTGGGAGCGTGGCTGTCCCTGCCAGACCACTCAGCCCCTCCAAGCCTGTTTCCAAGCTTAGCCATGGTTCCCCAGCACCTCTTCATCTCCAGCCTGCAAGTGGCCGAATCCCACACTGGCCTGGCCAGCACCAGTTTCCCACCTGGAAGCAGCACCAGCAGCTTTGGCCCTCTCCCACCCCAGCCCTCCCTCAGCTCGGGGTCCCTCTCCCCATCCCACCCAGGGGAAGGGTGCATCCATTCAGGAGGCCCTTTGACTAGACATGATCCCACATTGGAGGGCAAATCCTTCCCCTGCGTCCCCCAGATGTGTTCCCCACTGCCCCCCCATGATGTGAGCACAGGGCAGAGCCCACTGGTGTGTCCTGAGCATATGCACATCTGAGCTCCTCTTCCAATGCACCCAAACCCAGGCAGCTCATCCCAAACCCCCCACATGTGGACAGGCTCACCTGCATCCCTGAGAGCCCTGTCCTCACGTCGATGGGCAGGAGAGATGCTGTGAGCCTCGGGGAGATGTCCCCTCCTCACCCAAAAGATGAACAGTTTACTGAATCACACAGAGTGGCTGGCCAAGAATCCACAACAGTGAAGGGTTTGGGCCTGGTTTATTAAATGCCTGTTCCTGGGCTACAAGGTCTGCACCCCCACAGGTCCCATCACAGCAGCATCCCGAGGAAGGACTGTGCCCCCAGGCTCCATGGCAGTGGGAAGGAGAGTGGGTTTGTCTGGAAGTGTGCATGGCTGCAGCCTTTCCTGCAGACCTTCACCCAAATCTCCGAGCTGGACTTGGCTTGGACTGCTCATCTGCTCGGCTGGAAGGGAGTCACAGAGCCCCGGGCAGGGGGAACCTGTGCACGTTCCACTCAAGAGGGAGAAGAGCAGCACCTGGGCAGGTGTCACAGTGGGCCACCATCCTCAGACAGGTGACAGTTCAGCCCCACACATCCTGCTGCTCACTCCCTGGGATTCCAGGGTGCCCCACACCTCGGCCCATGCAGACAGACACACAGACACCCTGCCCTGAGACAGCTCCTGAGGCGGCTCTGACTGGCGGCTCTGCAGGACAGTGGCCAGCACACAGCAGGGAGGGGGGCCCAGCTGGCCCCTGTGCAACAGCAGAGCCCTGCACGCTGCTGTGACTCACTGCCCATGGTTCAGAGCCTCCCTGGAGGACAGGACCTGCTGGTCAGGACAGAGGGCAGGGGGTGTCCGGGGGCGGGGGGCCTGTGGTCAGCGGTGATAGCGGGGGTCGGCTCTCCAGCACTCCGACAGCTTCCGCAGGACTCGCTCCTTCAGGTGGACCCTCCTGGAGAGCTGCTGTGACTGGCTTAGCTCATGAGCCTTCAGCTTGGCATAGTAGTCAGAAAACTTGTTGTAGAGGATGGAGATGGGCATGCCATTGAGGATGATGCCAAAGGAGATGCAGACAAATGCCACCATCCTGCCGAGTATTGTGTCAGGCACAGTGTCTCCATAGCCCACGGTGGAGAGGCTGACCTGTGTGAGGATGGGAAAAGATAAAATCCCACGGGGAACAAGCCCAGCAGACCCCACCAGATGGTGCTGAGACTCACCCGCCCGCCCCTCTGTGGGAGCCAGATGTCACCTGGAGCAGTGTCACACAGTGACAGCAGCCAGCTCAGCTGTCCCCACTCCTGCAGCCTCCACGGCCAGGGCTCTGCGCCCGGGAGGCCTGGAGAGCACAAGGGTGGAGTGCTGCTGGCTGAGCCCCAGAGCAGAGATCAGAGGTCAGACCTCTCTCTGCTCCGTCCCCGCTTCACATGTGTCTCTTCAGGCCAGCTGGACACCCCGAGCTGAGCCCTCCCCAGCAGTCAGTGTCTGCTGCAGCTTCCTGCCCCCGCGGAGCTGCGGCTCCAGCGCTTCCCGCCCGGGAACTGCCCAGTCCCGCAGGAACAAGTCTTCCTGGAGCCTCCATCCAAGGGAAGCAGGCACTGCCCAGAAATGCACCACGTTTGGTGACCAGGGAGTAGGGCTATGGGGACAAGGTGAGAGCTGAGGCAGAGAGGTTTGGGCTTTGCAGGGAGCTGTGCTCCCAGGGACAGGCTCGGCCCGGGACATTGAAAGGCTCGAACCTGGTGATACTGCTGAGTGATTTTGCCCTTCCTTGAGGAGGGATGAATTTGAAGCAGGCAATCTGTGGTGGCCAAGGGGGCAGAAGTGATCTGTGGGATCATTTAATCTGTAAATCAAAATGCCCTTGTAACCCCTGGGGTTTAAGTGCTTTAGATACCCCCCATTTCGGAGTCAATCCCAGGTTTATTATAGTGCTCAGCTCAGCTGAGCTGCTGGCTCCTGGCACAAGCAGGGCAGCAAACAGGGGCAGCACACCCCAGTCTGTGTCCTCTCTCAGGACACAGACCGAGGCACAATGTGACCATGGGTCCCACATGCAGCCCCGGGTCCCCCATCTCAGCCCCACAAGCTCTGACCCCCCCCATGCCTCCCAAGCCCAGCTGGGCTGTGATGCTGCACAAGCCTCAGGCTGCCCTGAGTGGGTGCCCCCATACCCATGGGGGCTGAACCACATCCACCCCACACTTGGGTCCCATGACAGATAAAGCCTGGCCTGAGTCACATCCTCCTTGTCACTAACTCAGGCCTGGAGGTTCCTAGGCCACCACCTCTGTCCCACCATCCCACCCCAGTGCTAGCTTCTGAGCCTCTGAGCTCGGTCCCAACCTCTCATTTCTTTTCTCAAGGCACGCAGGGCTCTGGGTTTCCCACCGTTACTGGGCTGGTAGGAGGGCTGGGCCCCTCCTGCCCCCTGGCCTGCAGCAGTGGTGAATCCCCCGAGCAGCAGGGCAGCCCCTACCCACGGAGCCCCCCGCCCCCCTCTCTGGAAGGAGCTGTGCAAACCTTACCGCTGCCCACCACCACGCACAGGGGATACTGGTGAAGTCAGTGCCGGGGACATCGTGTTCCACCGAGTGTATGAGAGCGGAGAAGGTGAAGACACCCATGGCAATGAAGAGGAGGAGGCAGCAAACCTGCTGGTAGCACTGGCGCATGGTGAAGCTGAAGGCCCGGAGGCCGGTGGAGTGGCGCGCCAGCTTGAGGATGCGGAAGATCCTCATGAGCTTGATGAGCTTGAGGACCTTGCCCAGCTTGCTCACATTCTCCACCTTGTGCAGCTCCTCATGGTAAAGCGTGTCTGCTTCGTCCAGATTTTCAAAGAGGAGCTGGACGTAGAAGGGCAGGATGGCCACCAGGTCTATGGCATTAAACGCTGCCCGCAGAAAGATCTTGAAGCTGGAGGAGGATATGAGCCGCATGAGGTATTCAGAGGTGAAGAAGATGGCACAGATCATCTCCATCTGCTCCATCCACATCTTCCCTGTTTTGTTTTTCATCTCCTCCACTGTGCTCA